ATGTAAAGTTAATAAGAACAAATACAATACAAAATAGTCACAGTGCCGCAAACGCCCTGCGTACATGCACAGAATCTGAACACAGCTGTGCACATCAAGCCGTTGGTGTGGACCAAGGTTGGGCAAAGTATTTCACTGCATTCGATTCTTTGGGACGGTGCGCATAAAATGACTGTAATGCAGCTGCGTGTGTGTGCCGTTGGCATGGTGTCCTGTGTTGTCTTGTCTTGCAGGTCTGAGTGGACGCCAAGACACAATGGTGGTGCATTGTGAGGTGTTGTTCGTGGCTGTCTGCATTCTCTTGCTGGGTCCCAGAGCGGGCCACTCACAGTTCAGCCAGAGTCCAGATCTGACTGTTAAATGTAAGTGAGATTGCTTGTGGCGGAATGGGTGAACAACTTCATGCGAAATAGTTATATGAGTGCATGAAATGGAGCTCAGGTCAGGTGAAAATATTAAGCCAAAGAACTTGTAGCTACTTGTTAGAGTGAGATTCTAAAGTACTATAGACCTCTAGACTTTGTCGAATAATTCAAATTTGGTTTGAAGCTCTGGAGATATGTCTTCTGGTTATTGCGCCGGAAGTTCCCCCGATTTAGATTTCTAATATAGATTTCTAGGCGATTGGATAACGAACGCCCAATTTCGGAAATTTTACGCACGAAATGATCACAGGTTTTATGGGGTGTATGTCTACCGGATGATGGCCTAACGGTTTATTGAAACCAAATGTCTATACTTTTGAAACGCGCTATAGGCCATCGAAAGTATGCTCATCCTCACTTGCCAAGACCAGGTCAAACTATAATACAACTTGCCCGGTAGTCACTTGTCAGGCATGGTGGTGGCCTGGCACGAGCGAAACTTCCTCAGCTGGTTGTGTTTATCAGCACAATTGCATAGCCGGTGGTGACGTGGATGTTCGAACTTTACTTTACTTTACTTGTTAGGCCGATAAATATGGTGGTAAAGACACACCTGGCAATATGGCGGTAAACAAACCCCTGCCCACACACGCTTTCCAAGCTGCAAAGCTCTGGCACAGAGCTCTCCTTCTCACCACCACCACCATCAGTTCGCGCCTGGCGCCTCGTCGATGCATGGTTGGCGGTATCCGACATAGCAGGCTGGTACATCAAGTAGCGCATGGTACATAGAAGATGTTAGGCCACTACAAGTAACCTAATACCAACACACCAATATGTAGAAAGGAAAAGGACATATGGAAACGAGTTAAGAGTAACTCTCCACCACTAACTAGATACTATATACAGTCAGAAAGTGCAACAACTAGGCACAAAACTGACAGAGGACTGAGACATTCGACGTCCTGACACCTAGCTTCAACACATCTCCGTACATCTGACTGTATATAGTATCTAGTTACAGTGGTGGAGAGTTACTCTTAACTCGTTTCCATGTGTCCTTTTCCTTTCTACTTTTATTATTGGCTCAATTCCCGAGTTTCAAATTACACCAATATGTATTTTTTTATTTCGCCTTCTCCTCCAGCTTTCTGGCACTGTCGTTGCACTGATGTCACCTACGAGCTGGTCGGCTATCAACTCTCCGATCCGACGTCGACTTGGGACGAGGAGGTGCGTGACCATGAAAATGCGTACGGCGACTGTGCCGACAATGACTTTGGCCTGCCAGAGGTTGGCCTCTATGACCATGAGTGCCTGAGAGACTTCCACACCTTCCTGGTCAACCACTACCAGATAGCGGCCGACACGAGAATCTGGATGCGGGGCGCACACTTTGCCAAAGGTACCGAGTGTAGCGTGTTCGACGGATCACAGGTAATCAGCAACTATAACTGTTCATGGCCCAATGCATACGTATGCCAGGGCGAGGACCCACAGAAGATGCGTAAGTGCATGGTTGCATCCACTCCGATGTGTATTCGTACCTCATAGAATAGAGTGGTTTCACATGTGTTGTCATGTGACAGAACTTGTGTAGAAAGTGATCATGTCATGTGATCAGTGGAATCAACATGGCCGACATCATGTGACCCATAGATGCAAGGGTTGACTGGAGTAGGAACCAACATGGCCGACATCATGTGACCCATAGATGCAAGGGTTGAGTGGAGTAGGAATCAACATAGCCGACATCATGTGACCCATAGATGCAAGGGTTGACTGGAGTAGGATTCAACATGGCTGACATCATGTGACCCCTAGATGCAAGGGTTGACTGGAGTAGGAACCAACATGGCTGACATCATGTGACCCCTAGATGCAAGGGTTGAGTGGAGTAGGAACCAACATGGCTGACATCATGTGACCCCTAGATGCAAGGGTTGAGTGGAGTAGGAACCAACATGGCTGACATCATGTGACCCCTAGATGCAAGGGTTGAGTGGAGTAGGAACCAACATGGCCGTCATGCATGGTCATGTGATGGATGTGAAACCACTCTGTTGTTGTGAAGGAGAGGAAACACCAACAGCTCACTCTGGTTCGGCTACCCGACAACTAACCCTGAAGGGCTGTCATCCTTGTTATTTTATCTTGGTGTGTAAAGTTGTACAATATGTGAGTACTAGAAAAGGTACCGGTAGTATGGGAAGTAGTACGCAGCATGCTATTCTAATGTCATATATGGACAGGTGTAAATATGAGGATGTGAAGGTTATAGTGATATGTATAGGGATATTTAATGGCACCAAATAATATAGTTCCAATATCATCACACCATTCCCCTTCTCCGGTCACAGATACCATCGGTGACAATGACTAAACGAGAAACAATAGATAGAGGATGTAATGGCACTAAGGGATATAATTGTACAATAGTATCACAGTTCTCCCATCCAAGCTCATAAGTATGTGAATCAGGGATTTTTTCCTATCCAAGCTGACGTGTGATCCATGGTAACAATGCTTTGACCTATTCATTCAACCAGCAAAAGACCATGTAAAACCAGAATTCAACAATGTCACATGGGGTGCCACCGTTTTCTTGCATATCCAATTTGTGAACGCAAAACAACCTATTTTCCTTTTCAACATCCTCAAGTGATGAATATTTGATACAGTGGGCTCCCAGCGGACTAGTTTGTGCGTGAAGTGTGTGTGCGCACAGTATGTGCTGCATCCAAACAGCCTGTTGAGGGTCACAGGAAGCATGAGTTTCAAAGTCTCAAGAAAATGTTCAAAGGCCTCTGCTAGGGCTGACGGCTACACCGTAGCTCAGTGGTTAGAGCACCGCTGGCCTCAAGCAAAGGTTCCTGGCTCGAGTCCTGGTGGTGACAGTGGGTTTTTTCTTCAGATCTCTTTTCAATATTCTCAAAATGATGAACGCCGGATTTCCCCTAGTCAGTTTCTGGTTTTCTACTTTTACCTTTTCTGTGCCTTGGCAGCTTTCGATTCATTTGATGAAGCCCCAGCAGCACCTGATGTAGAGATCACGCCTGCAGACACAGTGGTGTACGTTGCGTTTGTCAACGACACCGCCTGTCACGAGAATTGCGTGACAGTTACGACGACGAATCAGACTGGAACTTTCTCAACGGAGGTATGCAGCTCACATAGCATTGTGCCGGTTCCCCAGTTGAAGAAACAGGCAACGTACACAATCACTGCTTTCACCAAGGCAATACGTCAGTCGTCTTTCTTGCTCTCCAACCGCACATCACCCGTCACTGTCACTACACTATCTGCTGGTAAGAACTCTGAACACAGGGATATTACACAATGTTATAACCAGTCCGGGTTGTATGCCTGCACTGCATCCCTGCACATTGTGTCTGAACTTTGGTAGATTCAAAGCGCCACAAAACAAACTGTTCTTGGATTTGGTGCTGAGACTGGCAATTTCTCTAAACACAGATCTGGAAGCAAGCACTACCTGTACGAATAATAGCAAAAACGTCGAAAGTGCCTAGTGTAGTAGAATCCCCCCCGTACCCTTGTAGGAGGTCTCGATCTGGGTGTACAAATAACTGATCACTGAGTTCAGAAAACCCTGCTTTGCAGCATGAGCATTGGATGAGTGTAGTTGCTGTAATATCCGATGCCCGTATTCTTACTTGTACTCTGAGAATACTTTTTCCTTCTTCTACGTGTAGCTCTGGAGGCAGACAAACAGTTTGTTTCCCCCTTGTTTCCACTTTGCCTGATTCTCCCATAAGTCTGACTTTGGTGCATTACGCCCATACTTGTTCTATTTGTCTCTCATCTGTTACGTCACTCATGAATAAACCCCACGCACTCCTCCCCTTTCTTTTTGTTTATCTCTCTTCTGTTTCCTTGCTTGTTCTCGTTATCTCTCTCTTGGCCTCTGTTTTCCTTTCACTCTATCTCCATCTCTCTCTCTCCCTCTCTCTCTATCTCTCTATCTCTCTCTGTCTGTCTCTGTCTCTCTGTTTGTCTGTCTCTCTCCCTCTCTCTCCCTCTCTCTCTCTCTCTCTCTCTCTCTCTCTCTCTCACTCACTCACTCTTTCTCTCTCTCTCTTTCTCTCTCTCTCTCCCTCTCTCTCTCTCACTCTTTCTCTCTCTCTCTTTCTCTCTCTCTCTCTTTCTCTCTCTCTCCCTCTCTCTCTCTCTCTCTCTCTCTCTCTCTCACTCTTTCTCTCTCTCTTTCTCTCTCTCCCTCTCTCTCTCTCTCACTCTTTCTCTCTCTCTCTTTCTCTCTCTCTCTCTCTCTCTCTCTCTATCTATCTATCTGATTATTCTCTATCTTTCTCTCTTCCCTATCTCTGTGCAGTCACCTCACCACAACCGAGTCCACCCAGTGGTGTGACGATCGATGCTGCGTTCGCCAGAGCTCTTCAAATCTCCTGGATTGCACCCAGCAGCCCTGCAATCGTTGCGTATGATGTGACAGCAGAAGGGACTTCCCCACTCTTCTCCCATACTGATCACATTGGCAAGATAGCACCTGGCAGGAGTGTGACGGGGACGATTCTGGGTGATCTAGTCCCATACACCAACTACACGGTCACTGTCTCTGTCATCACTACTGCAGGTCAAAGCCAGCTCTCCAGCTCGGTGTCCATGTTCACATTGGAGGATGGTTAGTTAATGCTTTAGCATATCAAAGCAAGCACCAGGGTCCTGCAACATTACGCTCGGCGGAGCATTGTTTTACATCGCATGCAACATTCCAATTTTCCAGCCATTGCAAGAAAGGCTGATTTGTGCAGTCGATGTGGGGATGCATCGGGTCATGTTGGGGGGGGGGGGGGGTGGCGAAGGAGGTGAATGAAGGGAGCAGCAGAACCAACCAGACAGACAGGTGTATAATGCCAGTGGCTGCTGCTCTAGGATTTCAAACCAACTGGTTACACGTCTACTTGTCAGTGTCACACCGGTCTTCCGACCGGGTCAGAGCCGGGTACGTTCAAGTGCAGCAAGTACTCGACATCATGTTCATCATGGAGTCATGAATATTTTACTACTCCTTGGTACAGAGGTACAAAAAGTACTCGATATGTCATGCATACCCCCAACCTGGTCACAGGTGACCCGGTGTTCTCTTTTCATACAGGTCAAAGTACCCCCAACTGGGTGACTAACCCGGCTGACCCGGCTTTGGAGTATACACTGAATGTACATCCCATGCTCATATGGTACAGGGACAAGCTCTGCCCCCCCCCCCCCCACCCCACTCTGTATTTCATGATTATTCAATTTTAATGAAGTTGAGAACTGTACCATTTGGCTGTTCAATAATGTAGCAATCTCTCCTCCTCTTCTCCTCCGTGAGCTCTCAGCCAACTGACTACCCTTAATAACCATTACACACACCAATAATTCAACGAAGAGATTACAGGCACTTTGTGACTGAAGAGAAGAGATTGTTCCATTATTCAATTTTGATAACTTACCTCACCTCTGAAGTATGCATTGGCTCGTCAGCACAACCAGCCCAGTGAAATGCTGTTTTCTTATCTAACGTAAGGTGTTGCTGAACATGCACATGTGCACGTACATGTATGGGCTCGGGCATGTGTGTGTGTGTGTGGTGTGGTGTGTGTGTGTGTGTGTGTGTGTGTGTGTGTGTGTGTGTGTGTGTGTGTGTGTGTGTGTGTGTGTGTGTGTGTGTGTGTGTGTGCGTGACGGTGGGTGTCTGTGGTGTGAGTGTGTGTGTGTCTGTGGTGTGTTTGTGTGTGTGTGTGTCTGCGGTGTGTTTGTGCGTGTGCGTGTCTGTGGTGTGAGTGTGTGTGTGTGTGTGTGTGTTTGTGCGTGTGTACACGTGTCGGTATGTGTTGCTTTTGTTTGTGTGTGCGCGCTTGTGCATTTATGTTCATCCACCATGTCATCTAGCACCATCAGCCGGACCAGACATCGTTGGAGCCCACGCAAACAGCAGCACATCCGTGAACATACGCTGGACTCCTGTTCCTCCTGAACTGCGTAACGGTGTGATCATAGGCTACTATGTGCTGGCCGAAGCTCTCAACGTCGACAGCGAACACCTCTATGAGATCCGTGACGGTGATGCGTTGGAATTCCACATACCCAATCTCATCACGTACCAGGACTACTTATTCGCTGTGTCTGCAGTAACGAGTGCAGGAGCAAGCCACTGGGGCCAGCACATCTTCATGAATGTAGATCCCAATGGTAAGTAAGATACTGCTCTACGTACTGCTGAATTCGACAAATGTTCGGCGCGTGTAAATTTCGGCCTCCCAGGGCTAAAATACATTTCGGCTGAATTGAAATTTCGGCCTCCCAAGGCTAAAACAAATTTCGGCTGAATTGAAATTTCGGCCTCCCAGGGCTAAAACACATTTCGGCTGAATTGAAATTTCGGCCTCCCAGGGCTAACACACATTTCGGCTGAATTGAAATTTCGGCCTCCCAGGGCTAAAACACATTTCGGCTGAATTGAAATTTCGGCCTCCCAGGGCTAAAACACATTTCGGCTGAATTAAAATTTCGGCCTCCCAGGGCTAAAACACATTTCAGTTGAATTGAAATTTCGGCCTCCCAGGGCTAAAACACATTTCAGTTGAATTGAAATTTCGGCCTCCCAGGGCTAAAACACATTTCGGCCGAATTGAGATTTCGGCCTGTATTGCATACTGCCGCTTCCCGTATATAGCACACAGTCACACTGAGCCTTGCAAAACAAAATGTCGGCCGCAAGAATTTTTCACCTAAAAATGCCCAAGCCGAAAATACTGTTACCGAAAGTACAAAAATAGATATGTGCCGAATATGTGTTGACTTACCTAACTCTGAATACTACATCCATGAACTGGCCAGGCGGAACTGGTCCAGTCGGTCAGACCATGGCCGGACCAACGTTTTCACCACTGACGCGTGTTTGCTGCTGGTTAGGTCAGGACTGTGTATCTGCCATATCATACACAACGTATGAACGACTAGGGTATGGCCAGACCAACCTGCGCATATACGACCATGGTCATATATGCGCGAGATTACGGTACACAGTCTAGTGCTTGTGATGGTGGAGTAGTGCAGGCCTACATTCTGCCATGCTAGAAAGTCACCTCACCACCACTAAAATAGGGAAGCAAAGTTGATGAGTGCTTCTGGTGATGAGATCATCCGCATTGGTTTGGTCATGTTTTGTGTTATTGCCTGCAGATCCTCCATATGTACGTCCGACCACCTCAGCCCCCAGTAAGTGTGTGTGTGTGTGTGTGTGTGTGTGTGTGTGTGTGTGTGTGTGTGTGTGTGTGTGTGTGTGTGTGTGTGTGTGTGTGTGTGTATGTGTGTGTATGTGTGTATGTGTGTGCTATCACTCTGTGACATGTACCTGTAGATGCTTGATCATTTTGATGGCTTTCTAGTGTAGCAGAATGAAGAGCTGGAACCTGAATGTGAACATTTAACAAGTGAAATGATATTCATGTCCACTGACTGCATCCAAACTCACAAGTCTGACTACTACCCACGGTATATTTAAAATACTTTGCTCTGTTTTAGAGGAACTGACGAAAGTGAAGATTGTACTTTATGGACATGGAGAGTGTGTGTTGCTTTTTGAAACAAAATTGTCTGCCACACCCTTTGGAGTGAAGTGACTTCCACTTTGCATTTATCTTTCTCTTTGGCGTCAACTTCTTTGTTGTATGGTTGGTGATGGCAGCCGTCGTCTAGGGCTGATGTTATCCATGCCATGCACCATAACAGATGCGGTTCTACATCTCTTTCACCGAAGTCGCGCAGTAAAGTCGAGGCCAGTGTCTGATGCCTGACTCAGTCGTGTAAGCCAAGCTAGCCTCATTCATCCGGAGCAGTCTTTCCCTTTCTACTCAAGTACAAAATTACTACACGTATCTGAGCATTTCTAATTTATCCTGCCTTACATCTTGCTATTTGTGCAGCATTGCCCTCACCCACCACACCACCACCAACAACCGAGTCACCTATGCAATATATGAGTAAGGATACCATGATGGCTGGATGACTTCTTGATCACTCAATAACTGTGAACACTAAAGAATCCTCTACAACCAACAACAGTTGTTCAATTCATATACAATGATTGCCAATCAGTCAGCGCCGTAATTTACACAGATGTTTGTACTGTGAAGAGAACATTAATTTGTGTGAAATTTCTTCTAGAGCCATGGGTTCCTACTACATGTACTGAGTTGCTGCCTCTGCTTGGTCACATGACTTCATTCCCACTGTGTAGGGTTTGCGTAGGTAATAACTCTTTACCCATTACATCCCAACATACACCACGGGACATGCACCGTGTTTGCACCAGTTGTACATAGGGGTTTGCTTCACATGGTTTTGTGAAGTATGTTAATCACGCAGCTACCTCGCCCAAGTGTTGATCTACTGCATAGAATTTTACCACGTCCTCTACCGTTGTTATAAGATGAAACCAGCGGTCGTGTCTGCAAAACACTTGCAGATGTATCGTGCTTCCCTTGCAAAGGACAAACATTGTATGTGTGTGTATGTGTGTGTGCATGTGTGTATGTGTGTGTGTGTGTGTGTGTGTGTGTGTGTGTGTGTGTGTGTGTGTGTGTGTGTGTGTGTGTGTGTGTGTGTGTGTGTGTGTGTGTGTGTGTGTGTGTGTGTGTGTGTGTGTGTGTGTGTGTGTGTGTGTGTGTGTGTGTGTGTGTGTGTGTGTGTGTGTGTGTGTGTGTGTGTGTGTGTGTGTGTGTGTGTGTGTGTGTGTGTGTGTGTGTGTGTGTGTGTGTGTGTGTGTGTGTGTGTGTGTGTGTGTGTGTGTGTGTGTGTGTGTGTGTGTGTGTGTGTGTGTGTGTGTGTGTGTGTGTGTGTGTGTGTGTGTGTGTGTGTGTGTGCATGTGTGTATGTGTGTGTGTGTGCTTGTGTGTATGTGTGCATGCGTATGTCTGTCTGTGTGTGTGTGTGTGTGTGTGTGCCTGTGTGTGCATATGTGTTCTTGTTTGCATGCATGCGTCTGTGTGTGTATGTATGTGTGCATGTGTGTGTTCTTGTGTGCATTGGTCTACATGTCTGTTCCCAGCAAGCATGGCTGACTCAACAGATGAAGACCAGAAGACGCGTGAGCCTGACAGTAAGTGAATGTTATTGGAAGCAGGTGCTGTTATTGCTGCAGAGCAGTCGGATAAACGTTTTTTTTTAAATTATCGTGTCCGTTCCAGAAGGGAACTCACGATCGCCGCTAAAACCCGGTAAACCCTAGCGGCAGATGCAGCGTCTAACGGTGGGGGTGAAGGGATGCGTCTCACAACCACCAGCACAAGTGCCGAGACAACCCATTAGCCGCAACCATTTAGCCCTTGTGCCTGGCCACTAGTTCCCAGTTGACTGTGGGTAGCAGCACGCCTGGAAAGACCGCTCCCAGGCAGGACTTGAACCAGGTACCCCTCGCATCTCAATCATGGTCTTTGAATCATGGGATTTCACTAACCCACTATGCAGCTGGGTAGGATCCCCATATGTACGGTGTACGGATGTACAAAATCTCATAGAATCCCCTGAAATCCCGTACACCCGGTTGGGTGTTGACTGTGCAGGGCCCTTTTGTATTTGCTGCTATTCCCACTACGAACGTGCCTGAATGCATTTTACACGAAACCTTTTTCGGACAAGGATCTAGCTAGTCACTGGCGCTATTCGCAGTTTTTATGTAAAAAAAAAAAAAAAAAAAAAAAGTCTACACGCACCCCCCACCCCCCTCTTTCTCCTCCCTCTGATCACAATTTCTTCCGGACCGGTTGGAATTATGCTGTAGAATATACCCTACATCTGGGATGCTCTGAACACTACCACGCTGATCTGAACATACTGTGGAAGCGCTGAATTTAGCGAGTGAAATTTATAGGGTTGTCTGAATCTGGACCAATTCGCGATGAAATCGTTTAGCGATCTGAGTTTCGGAGTTACGAAAAAGAGATGACTACACTGCACTGTACCCGCAGAATTTCGATTGGCGCGGCAAAACTTTAGCAAAAAACACTCCTTTTGCTAGAATTGGCAAAGTATCACCAGGGCTAACATTAGCCATTTTACAGTAATCAGGTTAAGCTGAGCAATATTATACCTTGTACCCGTGTGGTGATGAACGTATGACGAACAAATAATAGTCTAGTTGAGTGCCGGTTCAGGAAATAGAAAGATATTTCAAAATTTCACTTTTTCCTGTTCCTAGTATACTCTTTTAGGGTGGAATCAATTTTGAATAGCCAAATAGCCAAATATTCATTGCATCCCTATTGCACATGCCTTCAATTATGGTGTGTTTGATACCATTTTTGTGTACTGTGTGTGTGTGTGTGTGTGTGTGTGTGTGTGTGTGTGTGTGTGCGTGCGTGCGTGTGTGTGTGTGTGTGTGTGTGTGTGTGTGTGTGTGTGTGTGTGTGTGTGTGTGTGTGTGTGTGTGTGTGTGCCAGCTAGTTCGGTTGGTGGGTACATGTATGCCTGATAGTGTTGGGTCTGTTGCCAACAGGCTCGGCTGCTTGAAGGTGAAATGTTGTACCTGCCACCTTTGTTGGTTTCAGGGTTCATGTACTTTCTATTCGAAGTATACATGTACCTGTTAACCATGAACTGCTTCTGGCTAGATTAACTCTTGTGTAATCAATGGTGCTAGTGAAGCTTATATCAGATCCACTCTGATTTAGCCACCCACACTAGTAGCAAGTATTACCTTCACTGGGGGCAGGGGTTCTGCAGTTGGATCCCAGGACGGATACCCTGATGCCGTCAATCCTTTTTCTGCACCTTGTCCTCACCCACTTACTGAGGTGTGGTGAGCCCATAAGTGGGATGGATCATTTTCAAGTCCACCCAGAGTTTTGGGGATTTCAGGGGGTGTCGGCCGTTGGGCGGTTCAATAGCCAATTGAGTCATCTTTCCAAGATTCCTTTTGAGTCTCTCTCCCCTCTCCAGGGGAGACCCACGTGACCAGTTTTGGCAGTGAGCAACAAGTGTGTGTGTGTGTGTGTGTGTGTGAGTGTGTGTGTGTGTGTGTGTGTGTGTGTGTGTGTGTGTGTGCATGGGCGTGTGTGTGTACTATGTGTGTGTGTGTATGTGTGTGTGTATGTGTGTGTGTGTATGTGTGTATGTGTGTATGTGTGTATGTGTGTCCACGTGTGTATTACTCTTGATGCCACCAGGCACCACAGGCTCCGATCCAGGTGAAGAGGAGAGCCCCGAAGAGCAGTCAACCTCACTGTCGACAGGAGCTAGCATTGGAATCGGTCTGGGACTGGCCGCGGTGGCTATTGCCTTGATTCTGCTTGCCTTTGTGCTCTACATCCGCAGGAATCAGCCTGGACCAGCAAGGTCTTCAGGGAACGACGACGGAGGGATGGACACCTTCGCAGCTGCCGGTGTACCTTATGATGGCTTGAACGATAGTGTGGAGAATCCCGTATACGGTGCTGATGAAGCATAGGGATGATCTTGTGATGTTGCAATGAAGAAGATAAAGTGCGCAGTCATTCTATGTTACCATGCATCTACTGGTACAAACATTATCAAGGAACGATTGGTTGTCTCAAAGAACGATTTCTTGACGGTCATCAGTCATGTTGTTGTGTTGGGTTCTTCAAGAGTACCCTGGTCCCAAACAGACACTAAGACACTTCTACCCTTCTGCCCTAGCCTCCTTGCTCCTATCCTTTCTGTCTGTCTGAACAACGACCATGCCCAGTCCAATGGTCTACAGAATGTGCCCTTTAAAGTCGTCACACTTCTAGCGTTGTAGATGTGTACAGTATATAGCACCCGGATTTCCTTGGAACTGCTGCTATAGACAATGGCAGTGCAAGAAATCCTAGCACAGTTTATGTTTTGCTTCTCGCATACCTTACTTGCTTTCAAATACGTTTCACCATCTGTCCATTTCCCGCTATCAATTATCAGAGGAACAATTAGGTACAATTTTTACTTTACTATGTTACGATTCAGCCTATTTTGGAGAGTTCCTCCGAAGTCCAACTTATAGTCACACCCAATACTTCATATTTCATGGTCATTTACTAGTGCTGAAACGATTACCGTATTATCTCTAATATAAGCACAGTCTCCAATAATAGCACGTCTCCAATAATAGAACACCTTGGGGCGGCATTTAAAAAATAAAGTGCTCAGTCTCCATTATAAGCACACTGTGTAAATTCATTATCTGTACCGGCGAAAAAAACCCTGAAATGTGTGTGTCATACATGAATTTGGAATGGTAACATTCCTCTGAAATGAGGTTGAAATAATAATGGAACAGTCTCCAATAAAGGAACGTCTCCATTAATAGCACGGGGCGGAGGTAGAGGGGACGGTTTCAAATAGGACACAGGTTGCAAACCGGAACGGACTCAATATTCACTTTCTCTCTTGGTATTTTGATTAGAAAACATATGTCACAGTGAGACTACGATGTGTTATACTCCGAGCCAAAATTTCATGGCTCTGCGATGACCAGAAGCGCCATATCAAGCAGGTGCGTTTTTGACGTGTTGCTTCGCACTGCGACTTGAGTTTTACGACTTTCGAAAAATCAACTTCCTGTCGCAGGTAAACAGCGGCTCGCCTCTCGCCAATAAAGCACCGCATACCAATCAAAACTAATGGAAGCACACACCAGGCTTATTGTTACTCTGTACTGGCCGTCGTGGAGCGATAGCAATTACCTAATTTCAGACCCAGAGTGAATTTGACGTGCACTCTAAAACGTGTCCGGTTTGGAGCCACCTCTGATTTGAACTTTTTTGAAGCGAAAAATTGGGCAACTTGGAGGCAATGGGTCAACACAAAGGAGTGGCTCAGTTCGATTGACTCTGGCCCCAGAGCAAACTTCAACATGCCAGTTTCCTTCCACAAACATATTTCGAGTAAAAAATCCACGCTGATGATCGGTTTGGGTCTATACAAATTTGGCTGTCAAAGCGTCCCGGTATCGAGCCGTCCCCTCTACATTGAAAAAATAAAGGACCGTGCTTATATTAGAGATAATACGGTATATCGATTACTCGATAAGAAATAGATCGAACGGTTATTTCGATTTTATCGGCTATTAAAACGAGTAGAATGGTACTTACGCTCGGTATTGGATTTCCCCCCTTTTAGGGCTCGCACAAAGCGTGCATGCATCGAAAGTGTTGCGAGTACGACACGAATATGTACATGACTGTACACTTGCAACATCGATGTACGTGCAAAGTACAAGCGCGATCTGAGAAACATTGACGCGATCACCGTCGCCGTCTTTTGAGCTGACTACTTTTCTTACATACAGCATGCAGGACGGGCAGGCTCGGTATGTGGCTACACTAGCTGCAGGGGCTGGAGTTCCCTCCACGTGCGAGTAGTCTTGAGCTAAACTAAAGACAGTAAAGACGACAGAATGGAAAACAGGAAACTGAAGACCACTTAGTGGTCTTCAGTTTCCTGTTTTCCATTCTGTCGACGGTTCCCGAATCAGTTTGCTCGACGAAAAGTTAGGCCTGGCGTCTGGGCCTATTTTGAGCATAGACAGGAAAAGCAACTAGTTGCTTGTTGGTGCGCCTCAAGTCAGCTCATCCGTCGAAATCCGCCGATCTGCAGCCCTGGCCGGCTTCTCTGACTTCATCATCGGAGTCAGCAAAGTCACAGGCGAAGGGCACTATCAGCTCTTGGGTTGCAACCAGTGCGTTGCCTCTGTCTTGTCTGTATTCGTCTGGTCAGTCCGAAAAGCTGACGGACTTGTTGCGGGATCATCGGATCTATGCGCCCACTTTCCGTCGTTGGCAATGTTGGACTCGTAATTTTTGGAAATTCACAGAGTGTACATGTACTGATGTGGTTACAATAATAATTGTTTAGCCGATAAGCCGATCGTTATGGTATCAGCTAAGCCACTAAGGAAAAAACGTAATCGTTTCAGCACTATCATTTACCAAGTACAGTACTGTAGGATATCGGCATTCGGTTTATTACAATTTGTCCTCCCGAAGCATCCCTTTCATTTCATATCCTTGATGAAATTGAGCCTCCCAAGTTGGGTGCTTGTTGCGTTGCGTTGTCGACTTGTGGTTAGACCGTATTGTCCAATGGTCTTACCGTCCCGTTATCGTACCAAGCCAGCACTCCACTGTGTCCTGGAATGTAGCTTGTGTTCGTCTTAATGGCGCTTACCTTCCCCTCTTTGGAATTCTCACTAATACTATGAACATTACAAGTAACAGTTAGTTGGAAGGCCGTTGGTGAGCGCTATCCAGTAGTGATATAGTCACATCAATGGCACGTGCTGCATTTTTCCCATAGATAATCTTTCATCTTACACTTTTGTTTTGTGTGAGCCCCACTGCAACAGTAAAACAAGTGTAGTTTGTGGTAATCATCAGGTATCGTCATCCGTGCCTAATTATTACAACAAACGAGACATGCTTCACTGTTAGGCATATGCGGATAATGCCGGCAGAAAAATTGGCAGAATTCGGTACTTTTTCTGGTAAGTTTCATGCATGTTTGGTATGTGGATAGAGAAATGGAGCAGAATTCGAGGAATTGCCTGCCATAAGGTTTGTATGGTTCTGGCAATTTCACTGCTTTTTGAGCAGAATCTGCCACCTTTTCGAGCATTATCCGCCAATGCCTATTCACTGTTGTATTTACAATGTACAGGGCTACTCAAAGAAATCCAGTCATGTACTCATGTACGCGCCGGGCGTTGCGCAGCACACTATAGACCTGCGAACGCGGGGATTCGAAATGGTGCAAGGCGCAAACTCAGAGTGCCACGACTGGATTTCATTGAGCAGGACTGCACTATGCTCTGCCTTCACTGTATTGAGCAATCTCACTGCACAGTTTCAGTACACTAGCTGCTTTGAAAATATCTGGTTAGGCAAGGGAACCGGAACTCCTGAAAATGAACTATTTGACAACTGAATCTCATGCGCCGCGTCTGCTGTAAGCCTGCCGCAACCTTGGACCTAGTTCAATGGTAGCCAGATTACTCACCAAATTCCTCCAGTGCTGCAAGACCTTCTGAATTCTGACGAAAGGTGAAGTCACGCATTGTTTGAATAGTACCCCAATCTGTGCATACCGACTAAGAAATCCTACGCCAAGTTACCGAGTAGTGGGGGAGACATGATGATTACTAGGCAACCTTAAACTTAGTAATGGTGTGATCAAGAAGAGTCAATGGGAAGAAGATGATAGCTAACTTACACTGCAATTACTTTTACATGAGGAATTAACAGGAATTAATTTACGTGAGAATTTAATTCGATAAGAACTCTGTCAGGTGTTATTTCGAACATCTGCCAACGGGGCGCATTGCTACTTCCGAATATGGGGCAAATTAAATTGAAGACATACACGCTTGGTCTTTCAGTTTCGTGTATTCCAGCACCTCGTGACACATGAGAGATCACGTGATCAATGCAGTAATGTGATAGATCACATGATCTGCAACATATATATCGCATGATCTGCAGTAGATAGATCACGTGATCAATACAGTCATGTGATAGATCGCGTGATCAATACAGTCATGTGAGAGATCACGTGATCAATACAAGTCATGTGATAGATCGCATGATCCGCAATGACACGTGGCATGGCGTGAGCTCTATCGTGTCAGGACAAAGCTGGTATCGTGTACAGCATATCCCATCACTCCCCCGCAGAACATGTCCGTAGCTGAGCAGGATGACTGACAGAACGAGGCAGCGATCGACACGGCGGCCGGGTCGGCAAATGAACAGCCACACGTACAGACAAACTCGTCCGGTGAGGGCGTGGTGAGCGAGGCATACCTATAGCCCAGCGATCGACATGACGTTGTGCATCTGCTGACGTCGGTGCAGCCTAGGAGAACAACGCGGTCACCTTCCCGTGGCCAGCCTGATGCATTCCAGCAACCCATGAAGTTTTGAGGAGCTGAACAGGAAACACAGATAGGAATTTTGGTTACAGGCAATATCACATCTGTACACAGCATCCAACAAAGTATTTGTATGAGTACTAATACCTACAAGGCAAAGGGAACGATTATAAAAAGAAGAGCAAGAAGGAGTGGATGTATTCAACAAAGCAAACGTACATACATTAGGGTACCTCAACTCAAACACTCAAACACAGTTTCTTTGCTGCCTACGTTACTTGAAAGGGTCACCAAATTTCCGGGCCTGGTACACCGTCCAGGTAAAACAGAAACACACCAGAAATGCACATGCATGTAGGATTTAGGCAGAGTGCTCAATGCAGAAATGTGCAGAGCAGTATACACGTACAACGGAGACGAAAGGCTGTGTAGATGTAACTTCAATTTTTTTAAAGCATTTCAGCGACCATCGAACAGCGGTGTTTGGCATTCATGTAGGACTATATAGAAAAGACTGACCTTGTGGCGGGCTTGGAAGCAGTGTGAAGTCGCTACCCTGGTCGGCAAGGAAACATGGCGATGCCGACAGCTGACAGAAACGTCCGGCCGTGCCACGCGGGCATTGGCACATGAAGTCGTTGACCAAGTCCTGGCACACGCCACCGTTGAGACAGTCTACGACTGCACAGTCATCAATATCTGAAGATGGGCAAGAGTGCAACACACATAGGCCAGGTGTGAGATCATAATTATCTATGTCATACATGTACACAGTCGACTCAAAATAATAATGACGAACTTGCATAATATACTTCCCCTCTTGGACCTTTCCGAACCTGAGCCTTCCAAGTTGGAAGGTTGTTGGTTTGCGCCTTGGAGAAGTGTTGGAGCTAGGTGTCAGGTCGCCGAATGTCTCAGTACTCCTTGTCAGTTTTGTGCCATTTTGTCGCACTCGCTGACTGTATAAGATCTGGGTACATTGGTGGACAGTTAGTCATAACTCGTAACATGACTGTTGTCCTCCTATTTTCACCATAATATTATACTGTAAGTCGACAAAGATTTGAGGCATATTTATTTTCGGCTATTTTCGGCCCGGTTATACATGTATTGGGCCGAAAATGTGTTGCGGCCGAAATTTTGTTCTGCAAGGTTCAGTGTGACAGTGCATACAGGCGGCAACAGTACAGGCCGAACATTTAATGCAGCCGAAATGGCGCTTAGCCCTGGGAGCCCGAAATTTGAACGGGCCGAAAAGTTGTGGACTCACAGTGGCAAATTCCGTGACATAGTGAACCGTTGTCCATATCCTAGTTTGAGCCCATACAAAATTGACCCGTTGCAGCGAACCCTTTTCGTTTATATTGAACCACATCTTGAAGGGCCGCATGTAAACCAATTGCACTCGTAGTGATGGTCAAAATGCCAGTCATGACGTGTTGCTTGTATAGTGTAAGTGCATTTTGGTTCTTACTGAAGTACGAACTTCGGGGAAAAAAGAACTAATTCTCCTGCACAATGGTAACGAAAAATATCAATTGTGCACTCATACATTATACAACAGCTGTTGTCTCCTTGTCGGTTATTTATGCACAATGGTGTTTAACATTATCAGGATTCGACTGTATTTTGGTTTGCAGGTGACACGGACGATGTGTAGGGTGTGTAGACGTAATCATCAGGAAGCGCTTGTACAAGTATCAGACTAGATAACGGCACCCATTCTTACTGGTCTGACATGTGTCGCCAGTGAAACCCAGCACGCATAGACATGTAAAGCTGTTGATGTTGTCCACACATGAGCCGCTGTTCACGCATGGGTTGGAAGCACACTCATTGATATCTGCCAAGGAAAATCACATACACACGCACACAAGTGCACATGCACATGCACACACACACACACACACACACACACACACACACACACACACACACACACACACACTCACACACACACACACATACACACACACACATACACACACATAGATACAAACACACTTGTACTTGCCCACGGCCAGAAAGATGAGATGAATTGACTTTTCAACCGCCCAACGGCCGACAACCAATGAAATCCCCAGACTCAGTTTGGATTCGGAAATCATCCCACTTATGTACTCAACACACCTCAGTAAGTGGGTAAGGACAAAATGCGGAAATAGGATTGACGGCATCAAAGTATCTGTCCCGTGATCCAACTGGATTTAGTGCCACTGATGCATGAAACATCTCGTTTAGGGATTCTTTCCATGCTTTTTTTTCTGGCATGTACATAACAATTCTCAACACTCTTGTTGTCTTCCATGCTACTATAGTTCTGGCTCCATTGTACTGCAGCATTGTCATTGATGCAGTGTAAGTTGCTCACCTGTTTGACATATGTCTCCAGTAAATCCAGCCTTGCATGTACAAGTGAACGAGGCAATACCGTCCACGCATGTGGCATTGTTCTGACATGGCTCCGGACTACATTCATCAATATCTGCAGTGAAGCAACGCAGAACAAATTTGACAACATTGCAAGAACTGGACATTCATGTAATTATATTTCAGGATGCTCTGTACCCATATCAATGTGTTTGGCCTGATTGCCTAACTCTTGACAACTTTTTTGTACTGAAATCGATGATTTTGTGATTTTTTGTTTGAGGACTACAGTGGAAGTCCTGAGGTGTCTACTCTGATTGGGCGAACACTTCCTCAGCGTTGTTGATATCGAGGCATAGGGATATGTAAAAGAGATGGGACCAATAAGTTACGAGTTATGACGAACAGTCCACCAACAAAACCAGAACTCGTAACTTATCGGTCCTTTCTCTTTCTATGAAAACTATCAGCTCAACTTCCGAGTTTTTCATAGGTGTATGCTTCCGTATTGAACTATGCTCAGACACTCTTGGCCTTCCCTATGGGGATATGTACTATCAAAGTCCATCTGTACTCTCTTGTTAGAATTCAGCTGCTTCATCACAAGCAAATCATCCTGCAATAATCTGCATGCCACCAAACAGTGACTGATGCTGCAGGAGAATGCTAATTTCAACTAACTTCCAATTGACTATCACATTGACCACAACAAACTTATTTTCTCTTAGGCGAACATTCATTGTTTTGAAGGAAACAGTGGAAAATACAACATATTACCGGGTTTGCAAGTGAACCAAGAATCTCAATTAACAGGATAGGTGAGGAAAGCAAGAGTCTGGAACCATACGGACTATTCAGCAGGAGTAGACTTACTAGTTTGGCATGTCACACCAGTAAACCCAGCAGCACACTGACATTGGAATGCGTTGACCAAGTCCATACACGTGCCGTCATTCAAACAGGGACCGCTGTCGCACTCATCGATGTCTGTAATGGTATAATGCACATAGACATATGCAAGCAAACACACACACACACACACACAGACACACACACACACACACACACACACACACACACAGATGCACATAGGATTCCGCTTGATCCACGGGTAAATGTTCGATTCACAGTTCTCCGGTGCATAAACATGTGTCCGGTCAATACAGGATTCCGCTTAGTACAGGGTCCGGTCAATACAGGATTCCGCTTAGTACAGGGTCCGGTTAATACAGGATTCCGCTCAGTACAGGGTCCGGCAAACACAGGTCTTACTGTACTCGCAATAGCAGAATTAGATCCTTTCAGAGTGAGGTTAAAAGTTCCTAACTGAACATGCAACTTTACTTGACTGAAATCCACTAGCCATACACTACACATCCCAGCCATGCAAGGCCATACCTCACACACCACAGTACAGTAAAAAGTCCCCTAGTTTGGGGTACGTCCATCTACCGGACACCTCTCGGACATATAATAATTATAGTCACAAACTATGGCTTTTCAACGAAAAATGATCTCAAGAACAATTTTTCCCTTTTCCATTCCCCGAGTCAACTAGTGAATATTCAAGAACTATTGATTGGCATTTAAAAGATATTCCCTTGCATGCATTAAGTATACATGTTCTGACCTGCAGGCAATTCCTAGTTTTACTCTACCTGTTTGGCAGAGAACGCCAGTGAATCCCGGTACACAGTCGCATGTGAACTGATTGACACCGTCCACGCATGTTGCACTATTTTCGCACGGATTGCTGGCACATTCATTAATATCTGCAAGTACAAAGAGAGAGAGAGAGAGAGAGGTAGCAGGGAGAATCAGAACCGAAGCTTTTTGGACAGATACAGCAACACTCACTAAGTCGCATACTCTGACAATACACAGTCAAACAATGCACAGTCAAATGTGCGTGTGTGTGTGTGTGTGTGTGTGTGTGTGTGTGTGTGTGTGTGTGTGTGTGTGTGTGTGTGTGTGTGTGTGCATGCATGTGTGCACACACACACACACACAAACACACACACACACACACACACGCGCACGAACATCCCCCCCCCCCCTCCCCCACAGACACAAACAGAGCTGGTGAAATAATATTGCGTATTTTTGAAGCAACAAAGCAGACACACTGGCTGAGTACTTACTCGTTTGGCATGTGACGCCGGTGAATCCAGTCACACACTGACACATGAATGCATTGACCTGATCCAGACATGTACCACCATTCTCACAATCCACTTCTGCACATTCATCAATATCTACAAGCAGATCAGAACACCAGCAAAGACAACGCAATGTGTAAGCTTCTCTGATGAGTTGGAAACATTGAAAACGGTGGGGCACAGGTTGTGTGTTAGAGTCCACCAGCTAAGCAGATTTTGAACAGTCGGACGACGTGCACCATGAATCCTCGGATGAGGGTGAGTTTCCCGAAGCACAGTGTAGTGAGCAGGGAGTGATGTTTTCTTGCAGGATAGCCTCGTGAAAGGTCCGGCATTCCTCTCGTGTGCATCAGACGGCAGTCGTCAGTCAGACAGTCGTGGGGAGGTGAACAGGAAACTTTGGATACAATATCCATCTTGCTTGTTGCAACGAGCTCTTCACATAAAAATCAATATAGTGCTTGGGACGTTAATATAACGTAAGCTTTGCCGGGCAGAAAGGGCATATAGCAGAAAGTAGTAAACATCTTCCAGCTCTGTTTCTTCTGGAATGTACAGCAGGTTAAATTTAAATTAGAGAACTGCAAAAAACATTTGTTGTCAGTACGTACCAGTTTGACAGCGTACTCCAGTAAACCCAGCTTCACAAGTACAAGTGAATGCATTGATCAGATCGGTGCAAGTTGCTCCATTCTCACACGGCCCACTCATACATTCATTTATATCCACATCACAGAGTGTGTTGGTGAAGCCTGGTGCACACGTGCAGTCAAATCCGTTGACCATGTCATTGCACGTAGCATTGTTCCGACATGGGTTACTGCCGCATTCGTTAATGTCTGCAATGCAAAACAATGCATAGGTATGCACAACCACACACACGCACGCACGCACGAACGCACACACGCGCACACATACACATACACGCATACACACACATACACATACATACACGCATACACATACACACACATACACATACACACATGACTACAATGCGCACTTGAAGCTAGTTCTGGCACCTCCAGAAATAACAGGAGAGAGAGAGAAAGAGAGAGGGGGGGAGAGAGAGAGAGAGAGGGAGAGAGAGAGGGGGGAAGAGAGAGAGAGAGAGAGAGAGAGAGAGAGAGAGAGAGAGAGAGAGAGAGAGAGAGAGAGAGAGAGAGAGAGAGAGAGAGAGAGAGAGGACATGACAAAACGTGAAGTGCATTTTAAAAGATGACTTCCACTATATTCTAGTGGCCAGCTTGTCCCTCATTTGGCAGACACGACACCAACTGGAGTGCATCATCTTAGGTGCCAAGGGGTAACAGTACCATATTTCCCCGATTGTAAGTCGCACTCCCTTTTCCACGTCCATGTTATATTGTTTTGATATATTCACCTCAGTACGGTAAGCCTTGCTCGATTGTTAGTCGCACCTCTCTGTTTGGCCCTGAAGTTGAGTGTAAAAAAGGTGTGACTTATATTCCGGGAAATACGGTGCATGCGGCACAAGGCTAGGCAAAGCATCAACATCTTCTCATCTCGAAATTTCTGTCCACTAACCTGTTTGGCATGTAACACCCGTGAACCCCGCTGCACAGGTGCAGTTGAAACCATTGATCAGATCCATACATGACCCATTGTTCTGACACGGTGAAGATGCACATTCATCAATCTCTGTACAAGACAACATTGACACCAAAAACACAGTAAAGTCACATTTACACAACTATAC